GGCATGGTGATAGGCTTCTGGTGCTGTTGCATGAGAGAACTGGGTGAATGCCTTTGTGTGCCGCCTTTGCGTCGTCTTGGGCTTGTTGATTTCCATGGTCAGGTTGCTCTGCTCACACTCTCTCTGCGTTGCTGCGTTGCCCTGCTCTCACTCTCGGCGGTTCTTGCACATCTCGCCACATCCTTCAACGTCCTCGCCATGCACCTCTCATCACCGGTGCCCTTAAGGATAAAATCCTTCCGCTCGACCACTCGTCAGCAGTCTTTTCACAGCGCCCTGCGGGTTCTCGTCCTTCGTCGCTCTTCTGCGCGCCGGAGTGTCGATTCCACGTGTGCGCCCCAGCTCCTCTACCATCCTATAGCAGTCCCAACCCGTTGGAATGTGCGCGCGAATTGGTGGGTCACTCGTCGCACGAAAACACGGAGCACAGTTTGGGTTCTTGAGTGCCCTGTTATGCCCTCTTTTGCCTCGTGTCCGTTTGGGGGGAGCTTCAGCGTTATCAGCCCGGTTTGGCGGTATCTGGGTAGCTGTTTGTTTTCGTTTTACATGGGTCACTGGGTTCAGGATCTATGTCGGCCCTAGGTCTGTATGGGGCCAGGTCTATATCGGTCGCGTCAGCGAGATTAGCGGAGTCAGGGGGTAGTTGCGGCGGCCGTGTATGTGTTGCCTATAGGTCTGTGTGCGCGGCTTTAAGAGGAGATGTGTGTGTGTGTGTGTGATATGATATGAGTTATGTCCTTGTGCGCCATTGCTTCATTTACCACGTGGAAAGCGTGTTGTGTGGTGTGTGGCGTTGTGTGGTGTGGTATGTGGTGTGGTGTGGTGTGGTGTGGTGTGGTGTGGTGTGGTGTGGTGTGGTGTGTGGATTGCCTTATTGTCTTGTATACCGGTACTTCTGTAGCCTGGCGTCGTCTGGCTCAGGAAGGGTGAAGATGAAATAAAAGAGGAAAACGAAGCAAAAAAGGAAAAGCGGGGCCCCTGGTGCGAGTGTCTGTCTGTGTGTGTAGGGGTGTTGAAGTGGGTATGGCGTGATTTGTGGCTTGGATTGTGGCAAGGCGGTGTCGTGCGGGTTGTGTGGCGGCGCGGGTAGCACAAAACCGGCAAAGTGTATCATAGGCCAACAGGGAGAAGAGGCCACAGCGAGCAACACCATTCGCGTCGTGTCATGTCGCATTTCCGATGTATTTCCCCGCCATGGTGTCATCTAGGGCGGCTGAGATGGCCAACCGGAGGTGCGGCTCCTGGCCGCTTGCTCGGATGTCGGTCCGGTCTTTTGGCTGTAAAGGCTGGGTATTTTTTGAGGGATAGAGCTAGCTGGATACCTTGGCTGTTAAGGGTTTTGCGAAGGATTGAGGTCTTGTTGCATAGTTGCAGGAATGGATGATGTCTCTCGCGCAATAGGTCTCGCAGTACTTGGAAAAAAAGGATTTGGGCCTGTCGCAGTTTTTTATTGTCGCGGTTGTGTATATGCACACCGCGTTTTGGAGGGCTCCCAGGTTGGGGGTCCTTCTGGAAGCGGTGACCTGGGAACACACTCAAGTACGACATGATGTCGTACGAAAAGCTGGGAATTCTCCTGTACATAAGTCCCACGCGAATCATCACACTCAGCAGGATGGTGGGTTTTTGGCGTGTGGACACGTGTGGTGCGACAGGAGGGTGATGCGGCAGCTAGGATCTTTTTGGTTGTGCTGTGCAGGGGTGCTTGGAGGGACCGGCTAGGATGGCCCCAGCGTAGCTTGGGGCCCCCCTCGAACCCGTTTTTTTTAATGGGAAAACACATTTCCTTTGAATTCTCCATATTCGCTTTGATAGTCTTGACAAATGTAAATGTCGCGGCGGGCCCTGTTCGTCGTCGCCATCAGCAGCGCGCTCACAGCAGCATGGACTGGTCCTGCCCTTGTCGCTATCCTGTATGTACACACATGCATGTGGGGGGGGGCAATACACGCATCCACACGCTTACATGGGTTGGTGGGCTCGGTGAACTCGGTGACAACTGTTTCCCCCGTTAACTCAATGGTGTGGGGAGCGCGAGAGTTGTGGTGCAGGAGGGGTGCTGATGGCTGGTTGGGTTGGACAGCAGCTAGGTGCTTGCGTGTGTGCGTGTGCTTGCGTTGATGCATGTGCGCGTGGAACGAGGGGGGCAGTGCCATCTTGGGTAATACTAGTTGTGCAGGGGGGCGCAACGTATGCTATATCCGTACATGTACGGGAACATCGTGTACGTCGCAACTGCACATGTACGTATGCATTTCTGTCGTGCTTGCATGTACGCATGCAAGCATAGGCACTTCGTTCTTATGCGTGTGCTATGTGTATGTATGTACGGTGTTATTCGTATGTTGTAGGTCTCATTATCCTCGCCATCATCAGTAACAACAGCAACAAAGGTTATCATAATTAATGAAGGTGACGGCGGCGTTGTGATGCGAGTGGTGATGGCGGAGTGGGCTTAGTAGCAGCAGTAATAAGGAGGGGGAGGAGGGGGAGGAGGAGGGTGTGTTCTAGAGATGATGTTACCGGGACTCCGCGAAGCGCCGCGGCAACAGTAACAAGCCTGAATCACCATCCATCCATCCATCCATCCATCCATCCATCCATCCATCCATCCATCCATCCATCCATCCATCCATCCATCCATCCATCCATCCATCCATATCATTGTTTTATCTTCCCTTCCAACCGTCCTCTTCCGTTCCTGTTTCGGTGATCTGAGACTAAAACTGAGTTTTTGGCTAAGTTGCCGGTAAGGCTGGAGGATGATTCGCTTGATTCGTTTGGCTTGGTTCGCCTTGACTGTCAAGTGGTCTGTAGCTTCCCATGCACGTCATTGCTACTGCTACAGCTACTGCTACAGCTGCTGCGTGTGCGCCACCATACGCGTTCACAGTGTTATCTGAACCCAATACAGTCCAACCTTGCCTCTTGGTAGTTACTCCGTACAGTACACTATGATGTGTCCTGCGGAACGCACAGTAATGCAGGCAGGTCGATTGAATGCGACACGCGACAGAGTTCAACTACGATTGGAGGGCTTTGGCTGCGAGCTTCCCCAGGTTTTAGATGACACCGCGTACTACTGGCAGTCGGTCAGTTGGTCGTTGCGGTTCTGGGTTATAGCAGCTGCTGCGCTGTCTGGGCATTTTAGTCGGTGGGCTAGGCGGCGGTAGCGTTTCTTTTATACGAACCCTATTTTTGAAGTTGCGGAGATTGCAGCCTTGGCTGTGTGCTGAGAATTATGTCGTCGGTCCTCGGATACGCCGCACGTTCAGTCATATTAAAGTGTCCTTTGGGGTGAAATTATTGTGGTGCTCTTCTTCATGTCTGCGTGCGTGCGTGCACGGTATGAGTCGGCTGCGCTAAAACGATTGATATGCTGAAGGGCAGGAAGGCAGGAAGTGGTATTTGCGCAGTGATGGTTTGATTGGCGGGATTTGGAGCCTGTAGGGCTGAGGGCTCTGCCACGGCGTGTGCTTTGGCGTCTTCCCAGGGAGCTTTGGCTTTTGCCGGTGCGCGTGTTGACCGGTGTGGAACTAGGGCCCCGGAATTGAGCGTCAACTTGTGTATATGCACTACGTATATGCACGTATGTATGTACACACCGATGATGTGGTAAATGGTGGCACGACTTAGCAGGGTTTTCTGCGCACCACCAAGTCAGCCAGCCGAAAGAAGGAGCTGGAGGCCGCCGGTTTACCGCCTGCTTCGATGTACTTGCAGGCTGTTAATGCTCCTAGACAGGATTGTCCCTTTCCATCGTTTGCAACCGTACTTTCACGTACGGCCTTCCCCAAGAAAGCCAATATATCGGGTTGGTCCGTGTTTCTGGTCTTGGTATATGTGAGCTGAATATTCCGCATGTTCCGCGTGAGCATTCCGAGGACTCATCCGTTGCGGTGTTGGGGTGTCATTTTCTTGTTGCGACGCCTGGGTGCTTGCTCGGGGCAGTTTACCACGGGTTTTGCCCCGCTGCTCGCGAATCCTTGCCGGGGGGAACATGACCTCAAGGACATTGCATTGGAATAGGGGTATATTGTTAAAAAAACGAATTCGAATTGTAAGGTGCTGCATCTTAATTTCTGACTGTAGCATCGCCTTCCAATCATCGCGACCGCATTAGTGTGCGGTGGAGTTTATAACGTATTAACATTTTATCAGCATCTACTGAGCCGGAACATAAAGCATGGTGTCTCGGCGTGCATCGTCGAGCTGCTAGAATGAATCGATGGGGCGGCAGTCTGCGGACTCGGCGCACCCGCTGTTATATATATAAATCCAACAGCCGTGATCCTAGCCTTAATTTGTTAAGAACCTCTTCAGGACAAATGAGTCCAAGTGTATCGAACGTTTCAGCTTCATGGCCTCGTGGCAACCTCATGCACCCAAATATTACGGCTAGACGCGCCTGTTTCGCAGAGGCGTGCATGCATAAACGGAATATTTAAAACTTGGAGGATCTGGTTTTTGATTTTGGTATTACGGGAGGAATTTCCGTTACGCATAACGTGAGCTAACCAACCGATCATGGCGCCTTCGTGCCCTTAATGAATATAGACAGTATCGATACCAATTAGTTGTACAAAGAATAAAAATACTGATTTGTGCTGCTTTTTTGCAAATCAGACGGCATCTGCGCAGGCATGGATGCAAGTGTCAGGCCGTCGATGGCCACGGGGCCGAGGCCAAGTTCATCGCGCAAAATATATAAGCCTGGAGATTTTAAAGAGCACTAAAAGATTATGGGCTGCACTTCAGAGTGTAGGCTGAAAAAATGGCAGGAAAACGAAGGTAGGCAGGTAGCTTGAACCGTCGTACCCATATTATAAATGTCCGGAATAAGTTTCAGCTTTTGCAAGGAATAAAATTTTCAGATTAAATGACAGCGGTATTCAAAATGTACCTATACTGGACAATGACCAAAAACTCCTTTGAATCTTAATGCGGACCATCAGCAAGCCCATCTTTAGTCGGTGAAATCTTTAGGATGCATCAATGACATGAAGGGTTTCCCCGACCAGCTTCTGTTCGCTTGCGTGGCTTTGGCAGCCTACCTTACCCCAAGCACAGCTTTCATTACCAACGAATCAATCATCATAAATGGAGGCCAGCTTGATGCTTGTGTCAAGGACCTAAGCCGGAATGTGGAAAGGTACTTCACTGGCGACGAGCTTAGGCTTCTACCGGATTCCGGTTTTGCAGACCGTGGTCCTGCCCAGCATGCGCAACCAGATGATTTACAGTTTAAAACTTCTTGCTTTATACATACGGTTATAAAATTCGGCGCTCTGGAAACTAGAAAAGCCGAAAGGCTAAGCGGCGGTGCTTGGTGTGCGCGTGTACGCGATACTGCCACGCACTAGGCCTGTCCACGCCGTGAGCTTCGCTTCACTCATATTTCTCAGGCATATAACCATATTCGAGCTGTCTTCAACGACAGGATGACCAAGCACTATTGCGGTAGCGATCCAATCTCTCCTGGTTCCAGACCCAGCCGGAGCCTAAATATAAAGTACGCGGTGTTGTCCCCCAATTCCCGACATGTCTTGATGTTGCAGAACTTGCGGGTTGACACCAAATGCGACTGACTACGCCGAGGCCGTCGCTGCTGCTGTAAGGGATTTCGTAGCGACATGTCTGCGCCTGCAGGTGCAGCCCGAAAGGGTAAGCCGCATCAAGAATCCCTTGCAAGGAGGATATCTTAAAGCCACAAACACTGGGTGGCCGTGTTGGATTATGCGCAAGCTGTCTCCATGCCAAGCCCCCAACGCCTCCCGCTGAACAGACTTCGATTCCTTGATACTTCAAAAACGTTAAAGTTCCTCGTACTCTCCCGCAGTAGCTGCAGTCCCGTACAATAATATTTATATGGACATGCACAATAACAGGCTTGCCAGAGATTACGGTTCAGGAAAAATGTGCAAGGTCACTAGACGTATTAGTATGGAACTTGTAAATCTTTGTGAAACTTGTAAGATAGCTATGTGGAAGGGCAGGAATGGAAGAGATTATTGGGCGTTCGGCGGACAGAGGGCGCCGATGACTCCCTAGACCTTTGCCTTCGGGCGCGTTGGCGAGATTGTTAGCTTGGCCCTCTTGGCCCTGGCCGCCGCCTCGCCGCCATGCGGCCGCGCGGCCGCCCCGCCAGGAGGCACGGAGGCGACAGCTGGTATTTACGCAACTATGATGGCTGGGTGGCGGGTTCAGCTGCTGGAAGACGCTCAGAAGCTTTTTTGAGGTTAAGCTGTCCGGTAATAGACAGGCCTTGTACAAGGCCCAGCCTTGGCGTGTCTTAATAAGGCGCTCTCGTCATTTATGTAATCTTCCGCCGTAGCCGCGAAAGCTGGAGCTTAGTCGTCATGTTTTAAATATAAAAACCTTAACGTTTTTAATAATGGAATCGACGGGGAGGATGAGAGCGTGCGCTGGGACGCGGAACGTTACTTCGCAATCCTATAGGCGGCGCCTGGCCGAACCGTGGCACATCCCGTAAACACGATCAGGCGTGTATTATGTCGTTTATAATTAACATTTATCTTAAAATTTGTTATAAAGCCTCCCGATTACAGAAAACGTGCGATGAACGAGGGGCCGAGGTTTGGGTTCTCGGAAGAAATCGCTGCATCAAGACCAAACAGGAGAGACAGGATGAAAGGATTAGTGATCATTAAAAACTAGCAAAATAATGAGTGTGTGAATGGACGAAATACAGTGAAGGCGAAGGCAAATGTCCTAGCAAGGCTTCAGTCTCTGGCTGATGATGAATGCCCAGATCCGGATTGGCTCTCTTGCCGCCGGCATCGTAAGGTGCCGAGAGCACACACGAACCAAGTGGCAAGCAAGATAACTGAGGATGTTGAAAGCACGTTCCGAACTTTTTTTTGTGTGCTTATGTGTGTGTGTGTGTGTGTGTGTTACATGGTTGGGGGTGCGTGACCCCATACCTGTAAGACTACCCATACGAGCCGAAGGCCCAAGTGCTTATGTGGATGTGAAAGGCCGGGAGTGGGTTGGACAACGCGTGGCAAACCATTGATCAACGAACACGCGTGGCGCCTGAGGAAGTCACGGGTCTATCAGCCTCACCTCCAAGGCTGGTAGAGCAGCTGCGTATTGTGTTGCGTTCTCACTTCCCTTGGTTGCTCCAATCGGGGTGTGAGCCTCACATAGAGTTTATGTATTGTAATGTAATGTTACAGAGTGGGAGGCTTCTGGGCCGTTTTATCACTTAGTGTCACTTAGTGTCACTTAGTGTCACTTAGTGTCACTTAGGGTCACTTAGGGTCACATAGACTTTATAGATGTAGGCGACAATCTGCCGCTTCATGCGCCTCACGTTGCCGTTATCATTCGCTTTTAGAATCCCGTCATCGAAATCCCTTTTCCAGGTCAATGCCCCCACCATGCTTGCTGTTGACGTACCTCCGGTTGCAGGCCCCACGCATCCTGGTACCCCAAGCACCTGGCATCCTAACGATGCTACAGCGGCACGCTACCGAGTACGAGAGCATCACGGGAGTGCGGGTGAGAGAGTGAAGAGGCGCCCAGGGAAACCGGGCGAAGGGATGGCGGCCGACACGGGACGGGAGTCGTGTCTCGTCTTCATGATCCGCGTGTCAGGGACGGCGCCTTTGTGTGCGTGTGTGTATATGCCTCTGAGGTGCCAGCATCCCGCCCCCCTTCCTCCCTACCTAGCTAGATCCGGATCCACGCTTCCAACAGTGTCCCTAGCAAATCCCCCGGTCCTGCACACTCCCGGTGCCTTTTCCCTTTCTCCATTCTTTTCCTTTTGGCCTTTTACCAATCCTACCCGTCCTCTCCATCCATCCTCTCTTCACCTTACGTATTGCAGGTGATCCTGGACCCGGTAGATTCGCTGCAGGTTAGCCTGGGGAACCGTGGCTGGATGGGAGGCGAGAAGGGCTTAATTAGGAAACCCCAAGTTTCAAGGATAACGGGCGACTGGAAGCGAGAGAGGGTTTGGGCATGTTGTCACCCTGCTGCTGCTGCGGCTGCTGCTGCTGCTGCTCACCTGGCCCGCGGTCACGGCTGTTGCTCGGAAATGTTGTGTATATGCATTTGTCGTGGGGCATTGGTGCTCTAGGTGGGGCAGGAGGCAAGGCAGGAGCTGATGTCTAACCTTACGGATCTTTCGGACGGCTGGGTGCTGGATGCCGGGTCCACAGGTAAAGGCCGAACCTGTGCGTGTGTGTATATGTGTATATATGTATATGTTACATATTGATCCGGGCCTGACGCTGGTGCCAGGGGCACTTTACCGTACCACAACATGAACGACCTCCGAAGCACACCATCATTGGAGGGGCGTTATGTTGATCAGAATCCTAACCGTCCTCCCTAATCAACGCAAAGCGCCATCACCTGTTCGATCCCTCTGGCCAACTACATACACCAGCTCTCATTCCAAGGAACCTGTGTATATACAGTAATGTGATCTCACACGGGGCCAGAAACCCGCGAGGACATGGCTAGGAATAACCTTACGTGTGTATGTGTATATGTTTTTTTGTATTTCTCATGCACATCGATCCGGGTTTGTAAGTGTAATTTACACCTTTAGTTGTGTTACCCTGTTTGCCATTCACATGACATCTAAACTGCATGCGAAGGTGGGGACGAGAACCAGGGTTTCGGAGGGGGACTGTAGGAGGAAGGCCCACCCTACCCGGCGGCGAACCGGGTGGTCCGGGGGATGGATGATTCATCGCATGATACATGCGGAGCGCTGCGGAACACCGCAGAGAGATTTACTCTAGTAACCCCCCATAAACAATACAGAGATTGTTTTGGAGTATCAACGAATATAGAAACTCTGTGACCAAAGGGACACTTGTTTCCCAACCTGCTGCTACTGATGTACATCCTCAAGGCGCCTCCGCCTCCATTTAGGGAACACGGGAGGCAAGAGAATACGCGCGACCCGCTGCAATTCCCCCGTAACTGACACTCTTCTGCGCACTCACACCACCTCTGCCACCTGCTCCCCAACCCCTTTCGGCGTCCCCTTGCTGTATCCGCGAACTGGCATGGGGTCGTCCGGGACACAGGGTTGGTCGCAGAGCTGCAGGGCTTTCAGAGCTTGAACGAATATGTTTCTGAGGTGGGTCATGGTCTGGTCTGGTCTGGTCTGGTCTGGTCTGGTCTGGTCTGGTCTGGTCTGGTCTGGTCTGGTCTGGTCTGGTATGGGATGGGATGGGATGGGATGGGATGGGATGGGATGGGATGGGATGCTTGGGGATGAGACTCAAGACGGTCCCTGGAGTCTGTCCCGTCCATGTTTGGTACGGGCCGCTTAGCATTTACACCGCTTTGTAATGCAACCGAGGGGTGTAACGCACACATTATTCTGTTTTGGCGTCTATCGGTTCAGGATTCTGACCTGGCCTGGACGGACGTCGGTCTCTTCTTCCGCCAAACAGCTGCAATGTACGATGGCCAGGTGCGAGCAGGTTCTCAACTGAGGGGGGAGTGAGTGTGGAGGGGGCCAGGGGGCATGCTGTGTGCGCTAGGAGGGTTAGGGTTGTGCGTGTGTTTGCGCGTCTCGGTGCGGCTGTGTGTGTATGTGTCCCGCTTATGACACAGCCAATATCTCTAAAATCCTTCCCTGCCAAAACCACTTAACTTCAACACTCCCATTCACAACCCACCACAGCTCGCTGACGATCCTGATCCTGGCCCTGAAACTGCAACATTCCCCCTCCTCAAGGTCATCGGCATTCCTCTGGATGGCGACCTCCTCCTATTGTATTACAGGTGAATCAGCCAGCCAGCCAGCCAGCAGCCAGCTGGGAAGGGCTAGGGCTAGGGCTAGGAGTAGCAAACCTTCCTTCTCGCCGTTTACTGAATCCCTAATTCGGCTGAAGGAATGCGAAACTCGAGATGGCCACGAGTGCCAGCTCGTTTGCCACCATATCACTCCCCCTGCACCTCACATGAGATGGAGGTACGCAGTACACATGAGATGGAGGTACGCAGTACACAATGCGTACGACACAGCGTGTGTGTGCGTGTGCAAAGGAGGCCCGTGCTCTTAGCTCTCTGCTGAACCGGGTGGTCGATATCCCCACGCGGCGAAATACGTGGTGTCGTGCAGGGCGGCTCGCCAAGCGTCCTCGCCTGACGAACCGTTCCGCGCCAAAATCCCCTAAGGCTCCATCCACCACCTAATTGACAGCATTTATCCCCATTATTGGGGACGATTTCCCCCCCCCCACCGGCTCCCTCACCCTTACCACCCACACCAATGCCCGACCTCCTCCGTTTCCTGTCACACACTGCGGCTACTATCAAACTGCGGCGCTACGGCATGTACGACTGCAATGCTGAATGCGGAAAATGGTGACGATGATAAAATCAATGGCGCCGTAGGCGTGATCTGTTCCTTCGCTTCAACCTGTCCGTCCCCAGCACTTGGGGGGATCTCGTAACTCTAGCCCGCAACATGAACGGCACGGATACCGACGGCGATGGTCACGGCGACCTGTACGGCATCTGCTTCGACGATTCCGGGCCGCCGCCAGTCGGCAAAGCCGCTTTCCTGCTGTTTGCCATGGCGGCACCGTACTTGCAGTACAAAGGTACGTCGCAGGGCACATTTTTCGACCCGGAGACCATGGCACCGCTGGCGGACAATGCCGCGATGGCTCAGGCTGTACGGCACTACCTGGCGCTGAGGGCACTTGACCCGAAAGAGGCTGAGCAGGGCTGTGGCGGCGGGGCCGGCGGGGACGGTGACGGCGAGGCCCCGGCGTTCCGGCGAGGGTGTTGCCTTATGACCGTTGACTGGGGTGGGTACATGTCCTACCTGGTGGGGGGGTGGGGGGGTGGGGAGGTGGGGGGGCAAGCTGGCGGAGGTGTGCGCCCCGCGACAACGGGGCGTCATGGGGCCGGCGGGGTTCAATGTGGCCACATGTTGGGTTCCCAGGCGGAATGGGAATGTAAGATCTGGAGGAGGAGATGTGTAGAATCCGAAGGGACCCGAAGATTAGGACGCAGAAGAAGGGGGCACCAGGTATATGAAGAGAGGGGGTAAGTTAAAGGGGGGTAGAGACGGCGATGGAATTGTAGCTGGGGGCAGGGAACACGCCGGGGGCTCTACGGTAGAGGTATTCATACATATTCATTGGCGGGGTTGCGGCCTTCAGAGCTCGAGCTTGGTGCGGATCTGGGTGGTCGTCATTCGTGCCGAGCCTTGAGAGGGTGGAGGGATTCCATGCCGTCATGGCGTCGCCCTTTCGCCATGACGGCGGAAGGGAGAATGACCACCTCGCCAAAAGGATCCGTCCTTCCTCCGAAACTCCGTTCCACCCTCAGGTGACGAATTTAAGGCTAGCGCGGCGCTGCTGTCCACAGCTGCCACAACAACCGAAACTGAAATGAACAACGGCTCCGTGGCAACTGTAAACGGCTTCACAAAGCCCGTAGAACGAAACAACGCCTCCGACCCTAGGGGCAATCTCAATAGCAACGGTAACTCTGGCAGCAGTAGCAGCAACAGCAGTAGCAGCAGCAGTAGCAGCAGCAGCAGTAGCAGCAGCAGTAGCAGCAGTAGCGGTACTTGGGCCGCACGCGGTATGCGGCTGGGTGTCGCGCGCCTTCCTGGGTCGACCCATGTGCTCGACCGCTCCACGGGCACGTTAGTCCCCTGCGACAGTAGGCCCGACATGTGCCCATACGCGCAGCGACAGCAGCTGTACGACGGCCGCATCGCACTTGTCAACTTCGCGCCGTACAGCGCCTTCGGTGGGTGGATGGGGGCCGTGTCAAGGTTCGCGCCGCCTTTGTACCGCCGTCGCGTGTACGACTTTTTTGCGTTCGTGGCGGCGCCCACCAACAGCTGGCGCGACGTGCTCGACGCCAGTACGGACATCGATCCGTACAGGATAAGTCACGTGCGCGACGACGGGGACGACGGGGAAGACTTTGGGCGGTGGCTGGCTGCGGGTTATGACCGTGACGCGACGCGGGATTACCTGACTGCGATCCGGGAGGCTCTCGGCTCCGAAAACACCGTGCTGGATAATCGGCTGCAGTGAGTGACCCACGGTCGCGCGGGTTGGCAACATTAGGCAGTTGTTGTCAGCAACTGGGGATAAAGCGTTGAAGAAGTAGAGAACGAGATCAAGCGCGGTGCCTAACGCTAGTAGGAGAGTTAATCCTCGAGGACTTCCGGACCGTGGGGGGTGAATCCCGTAGCTCGGGAAGAAATCCTGAAATTATTGTGAACAACGTTTTGTTCCAAGCATCCAAACGAAAAATACGTCTCTCTCTCTGCGTTTTCCCCCTCGCGTGTGCGGAACCTGACATGCAGGTACGTCGGCGAGCCGTACCGGCTGTACTATGAGTACGGCCTAAGCAACCTGACGTCGAAGGCAGCACCTGACTTGACGGTGGAGTCCGTGCTGCGGAACATTCAAGCTCAGCTGACCGCAGCTATAGCTCGAGTTGTTGGCGGCGTGGCGCAGCTCCAGAACCAATACTGCAAGCTCATCGGCTGCCGGGTGAAACCCATTGATGGCGGCAGCGGCGGTCAGTCGCCGGCAGGAGATTCAGGTACTTTGGAGCAGTACT